TCAGGAAAACATTCGAAATGACTGTCTTACTTCCGTATAACATTTTACACGAACTTTCCAGTTAATATTCAAGTGCGAATATCAGTAAGGATAAAAAATTCTGGTTATCTTCCATGATTTCAACGAATAGCTCATCTTTTTATTTTTCTAAATGTTTTGAAAAATGCGCTGGTCAAAGTTGAGAAATTACCTCAATGCACACTGGATGCACTGCGAAATACGCTTCGTCATTTTTAACGCCGACCTTGATAGCATTGTTTGAAGGAAGGAGCTGTACTGGATTATTATTCATACGATGTAAACAAAAATATTATTACGTCTCTTTTCTTGTCAACGTAAATAGGTGTTTTTAACAGCGACCACGTACATCTTTTTATTCCTTTGTTGTCGAATGAAAGTGCAGAAGTCGACATAAATACGAAATGTTTCCCGAGTGATCATCAGCCAAGTCTTTTCAATAATCGCATTTTATCCCAAGCAGCCATTATTTGCAATTTACCTTCTCTTCGAAGTGTTGAGATTCAGCCAAACATTTCTCTACAACCAGTCTCTGCAACGCCTACAAACAAGATTGAATACTCGAAACGAATTTGTTATCGGTTTTCCAGTGAACTCATTTTAATCTCTGACACGAAGCTTTGGGAATGAATTTAAGAAGGAGGTTTATCCCGATTCATTCATACAGCATCTCAAAATAATGGAAACAAGTTCATGTTGATATAGCACGCACCGATTTCACTCATACGATTTTATCAATGCTTATCCGATTCCACTTTTGATTTCAAAAAGTGGTTTCATGTCTTGAAGCCCAATACGAAAAAAATGTAAGGCATGAAATGGTTCATTTTTGATAGATGATTTATGGAATCATGGTCATATCCATTTCTTCGCACATATTCCCTTCTTTGATGACTTCGCGCTTTAAATCTTATTATCGGAAATATATGCACACTGTAGCAGTGCAAAGATGATGTTATCGAATAATATGCAAATTAACAGCGAAATTTATTGAATTGATATTGTCTTTATAATCTCATATTATATCTGTAGATAGAGATATTATATAAGCTATATGCTGAATTAAGAGGGCGATCATTCGGAGAAATATTGTTCCGAAGAAGATTTTGTTTGATGTTTATGTGCGCTATATGTGTGGTTATTGAGATGGTGGATGGTTCGCGTTTTCGCCAGAAATAATCTATCAAAATGATATCATTTATTCATATCGTTTACACCAATAAATGACTCATCAAATACAGTAGTTTTTCAGGTGAATGTTTGAATTCATAGCGCACTATTCATTGCTTTTTCAATCAATCAGCTCATCTTAGTGAAGTGTGGAATTCATTTATTCTTCACTGAATTCAAGCAAAAAATTGAACAGTTTCGAAAACTCTGCAATAACCACCTTTTCGTTGGAATCCCATAATGAATCTTACGCAAACTTCAGTTGCACTGGCAAGTGATTCAAGTTAAAAGTGTTTTGGCCAGTCGTACTTTAAAATCCACCGTGTTTCACTCAATAAATTATAAGATATCATAAACATGGCGCGAGAGATTGTGTTTTTTCTAGATGTTATCAAAAAAGATTGGATAATAAGGTGATCTTTTCTAGGCACCCGATTACACTTCAACCTAAAATTAACCAATTGAATGCCCAAGTTCCTTACAGGGACATAAAAATGGATCTGTTTTGAAAGGTGTTATGGAACAGTGCACGAAAGATTCGAAACTGCAGATTAAGATTGGTGTTAAAACGGCGCACACAAAAAACTTCTAAGATGAAGACAACAAACCAAGCAGATTCAGATTATAAGGTGTGCGTACACAGCACACAGCTGGCAAGAAATCACACTCGTGTAATCTATAGAACGAGTTGACTGTTTTCTCTTCTTTTTGTGATGTTCGATGCTCTCAAAGAACAGTTGAAAATCCACATTGCACCCCAAAAACCGTCGCTTATGGTCACAACGGGGATGACGATTTTTCTGCCAGAAACGTCACGGTAATGTTTAGAGCATCCTCATCCCGCAGAGTGAATTGATCATTCAGAGAATCGAAGATCAGAATGAAGCATCATTAACTTCTTCCATCACATTTATGAGGTCCCTGTTCCCCTGAACTGCTGTCATGTTACGCCATCCAACCCAAAAATTGGATCTGGTAGTGAAACAAATTGCTTATGGTTCAGGTGTAGGGGTTTCAAAAGAATGGTTTACAAGAGTCCTCGGCATGAAGAGTAGAAAAAAATGGGTCTATGCCACTCCACCTGAATCTGTTCTGAAGGCGAACCTCCGAAAGGGAGGGTAAACCTTCCATTCTCACTTTCATACCTGCTCATGAAGCTCACGAGCTGACAGCTGTTGTCAGAACTGACAACATCAACCATTTGATCGTCAAATTCAACAAGAAGAACATTTGCAAACATTGCAACTATATGAGCGATATATATTCAACGAACCGTTAAATATATAGTCACCCAAAAACTTCTGAAGGTTTTTGAGGTACCTCCACTTCATATCGAACCCGAGACTACTAGCAGCACTAGTTTTGGTCAGAAAGTTGTTATCGAAATTGATGATCGTCGCTAACGGGTTATTGAATGTGTGAAATTTTTACCAAATGCCTCTTAATGCATGTCAAAGAAATCGCGTGTGGGCGGAAATTCTACTTGAAACTAACATTTACCAATATCAGTGATGTTATGGACCGTAAGCCAGGATATGATCTGGCATGAATTCATTCAAAATGGAATGACAGAGACAAGTCGTTAGCAAGCTTCTCACATCTTGCTAGTATTACTTTAAATTTCTTGCGGTTCATCTTTAAGGATCAATAAGAAGTCGAAATGCGTTCTAATAAGGAGATTAAACAAGCACATAATCCGTTGATAAAAATTTAAAAATTACTGACGAATTCATTGATATCATAATTTTAGTTACCTGTCCGAATAATTTTTCTGGACACATTGCGCATCTCTTCAATAATGTTTATTTTCAACTGTTTCAAGCAACAACAAAACAGCGAGCAAACGCATACGTCGTTATGCAGAAGTATCAAACGCGAATAAAAGTCACTCTTAAATGAGTTGTCATTGATGCCTAATGATATGTAAAATTCTTCATGCATGTGGCTTTTGCATGGTCTGCCAGTACGCGAGTAGAACGCAAGCAAAATTTTACTCGTCCTATTATATCGTTGGTAGAAAGAAACTGCCTCGTGTTTGGTGCTCTTCATTTCATCTCTCAATTTTAATTCACTCTTGCTTAAAGGCAACGATATGCTAGTAGTTATAAATCTAACCATGATCTTCAATAGTGAGCAAGAGCAGCAGTCCAAAAACTGAGGCAATGAACGGAGAACACGATTTTAAACGATTCGGCAATGGTCTAAAATTGGCATATATTCCAGCTATGTAGTACGTCCGGACCAAATAGAAGCCACCTGAATGCGAATTTGACGTACTTGCTTGAGTCAGATGAAGGTTTTGGCTCGAGTTTGTGCTTAATTTACGCTGAGGCTCGTGTTTGGACTTAGAGACATGCATAAGCTGAGCGCAGGCCGAACTGATGCGGATGATTCCTACAGTTTACTGCGCTGTTACCGCTTCAACTCGTCAACCGAACTCATGAGCAGTGAGCCTGAGCAGCTCAAAAGTTCTCATGTGACCTCGAGCAATGTTCGGGCAGCATAATTTTTCAAAAATCTCTATCACTTGATCTGACTTTTCCTCTGTTGGATTAATTTCATGCGGTCGATTAAAGCATTGTGTGATATCGGTGCAGTAATAATAAGTCACCCCACTGGATGGCGACCAGACTGGTTGTTCAACGTAATTCTCTCTTTCCAGCGTAAATGGGTGAATGAATCAGCCAAACGGCAGAATACTACCAATTTATTTTTATATCAGTAATTCAACACCACAAGAATACATCCAATGGATGCTATGTTATAAGTACAGTGTAAAAATTACGACGTCTACAGTTATAGCAGGCAAATCTATTTAAAGCTATTTCATAACAATACGCATGTAATAATTACCATCAACACTACAAAACAGCGGTTCTCACGTTCTCGCAATTTTAACCCATCTTTGACATGCGGCAAATAGCTATTCCTTCCTCCACCTCGACAATCCACATGATCGCAGTTTTCTACCTCCCTCTTCTGGCAATTTGAAAGTGGTGCCAACTTAGAAGAAAATCAAGGAAGTTGATCGGATGATCAACAAGTTCCCTATTAATTGTTGTTTGTCGTCAACTTCCTTAACTCCCCTCCTGACTCCATGAGAACCACTGCCTTAAATAATTACACAGCCCCATTGACCAACACACCATTCAAGTATAAAATCAGTCAATCAACTTTGTAAGATTGAAAAATTCATGCTCCCATGGTCAGAATGTATAAATTAAAGCTTAAATTTTATCAAAGACTCAAAATCAAGCACGTTTTTTGCTTATACATTTACAGCAAAAAACAATAAAGTTAGTTCTGTCACTTTGTAATTTAGGGTAACAAAGTGAGTATGTTTATATCTCGATATTATTATTGCACTTGTGCCTCTTATCATTTGCAACACTATAAATGGAAAATGAGAATATTTAACTGACAGTTGAAAAGGAGTGTTACAGATAAGTATTAAACGTCGAAAAAGCATCTGAATATTTCGGTATACTACACGGCTCTGGCTAGAATATGATGCTGCATATGCGTATGAAATCATTAGCAGTAGCTAGTAATACAAAACTCTTAATGTAATCTTATCACAATATTGTGAGTATTAATCTTGCACTGTATTGTTTGCACCTTAACCGAAACAATGTCCATTATTACGCATTCAATAATTTACATGTAAAACGTCTAACTTTAAATATCATCTCACTGCTCATCATTTAACCAGTTCTACACATGAAACCACTGCCAGAATATTGTTGACATGATTCACGAACAAAAAGAAATCTATTGAACATTTGTTAGAGTGGGTAATGTTGATCGAGATTTTAACTGGACGAGGCTCGAGCTGGGGATATTTCAGGATCAGGCGTTTTCGTTTCAGGACTCGACGATGTACAAATCGATGACGATGAAAATAATGGATTCGAAGCCAGCAGTGGGCGCGCAAGGCTGAAATGTTTGCTTTCACTTCAAACTGTTCTTATTGTAAATGCAATTGAAATGTCGCATTCTCAACATAGTTTTTGCTATTTTTCAACTGATCATTCTCTTATTTATACTGGACGTGGTAAACAGAAAGCAATCGTGAAAATTCTATCCATGAAATGCAACGAGATTTTCAACTGTTTCCTATGAATTGAAATTCCGAGAATTCATAAAATTGTTCAGTTCAGGTGCATGAATATATTGATTATTTCTCCAAATATTTGGATTTTGATGATGTCTAATGACCAGAATCCAACCTTGGTGCACATAATTTTGGTAGAAATGAAGACCTCCATGCCTCATAATAAAATGGATTCAACATGTAAGCGGTCATCTGATGCTCGACTAGCGGCCAATGGAGAGTGGCCATTTTTTGGCGTTTATCCTTCATTCGACGGTTTTGGAACCAAACCTGGAATATTTTATTCGCCATTCAGCAATCATAGAGTCTACGATTATGCATCAAACTGTGCAGTTTTTCTTAGTTGCTTAAAGTGGTTCAATTTAATGGTTGCACTGAAAGGCGTTTGAGATTGATTAATTTAGTGGTGTGTTCAATTAGAGTTACGACTAAAAATCAACTGGACTATCTACGTAACATTTCATTTGGCTGCGTGTGTGCGTCAATAACTGCCCTTTATGAGATGCTGTATTTTTCGAACACCATATGAATGCATAATTTGTTTGGATTCATTTTTTACTTAGGTACGAATCTCTAAAGCTAAATTTCGATAGAGGTTTTGATCAGGGTGGAGCAGCTCACACAGAAATGCTTTCGATTTTTCTCTGATAATAACGTTCGAAAAGCGTCGATGCATTTTTGAGTGTCATAAATTGAGAATGAAATGTTTGAATTGGCTTCTCACGCCATTGATGTTTTTGACGGAATAAATAATATCGCTTTGTGAAGAGAATTATTAAGAATAAGCATTAAGTTGAATTGAAATTGAGTGTAATAGCACAAAAAAACAGAATTTGTATGATTATATGCATATATAAGGCGTATCGCATGAGCAGCTTAAACAATCCATAATGCTCTCCTGGGATACTACAGTAAGCCAATAAAAAGACATCGCGAAATAAGCGCAGCAAAACGACCTCTGTGAGGCTTTGATTCACTAAAGCGATAAAGCACCATAAACATACTTCAACAAATCAACATCTAAGCATTATCCCATTTAAAAACTTATTTAGTAATGTCATTGTCTTCGGATCATAAGGGATTTAATAATTCTCAAGTGTTTCTTTCGCTCAACGATTAATCTTCAATCGTAAATAGTTTATTTGAGAATAATCAATCAAATGAGCACATACATCTGAATGAAATTCATCATTCACAAGAAGTGTGCTATCGTATAACAATTACACATGTATCTTTCTTTGAAATGATTCAAGACGATCGTAACTGAATGGAAATTAATTCGTTGATGCACTGTTAAATGAACTGTTTCATTCGGTGTCGTTAGTGTAATTACCAATAGTAAATATTTTTTAATGGATGCAATATTGAAAGAATCAACTTTAAAACTCGTTTTTCTTTATCACGTTTCATTGAAATAATTGCACGTGAAATCATCCCTCTCATAATCGACTTTTTACGATGCAATTTTTATTGCTCAAACCATTTCTTCTTTCAGTCCCTCTTTTTTCATCAGATGCAATTCGCCAAGAGTATGAATCTCTGACAAAGCAATCAATACCTACTGCTCGCTTATGTCTCTAATGATTGCTGATCGAAAAATTCCATTCAAAAAACTGTCATCATTCAAGATTTCACGTAATTGATCTAATGTTGCAAGTATGAAAGAGATCTGCAAAAAGTAACAATCGAATGAAATGATGATACAAGCATATTGAATATGGTAGAAATTATAACCTTAATTGTCCCTTCAGGAAGATTCAATTGAGCAGCTAATTCGCATCGTTTTGGTCTTGAGACGTAATTCTCTTTGGCAAATTCTTTCTCTAGTCGATTTATTTGTTCCCGACTAAATGCTGTTCTATAACGGCGTATATTGCTTTCATCACGTACATCTGCAAGAAAATTATTCAGTCTGATTTATTCATCATATTCACTGTTATGATTTTATTGTATTTGGTTCAGACAACTGTGACGATAACGTGATTCCACCTATTTTCAAGGGACAGTTCCCCTTGAAGCAATACTGACCAGAATCGCTGACAGAGAATGAATAATTGAGGCAATCTGATACAAAATTTCGAGGTGAAAGATTTTGATGAATATGTTTCGTTTGAGGAAGTTTGACTGACCAATCGAAATGAGGCAATACTTATCGATTACGGTGTGATAGATGTTAACCAACTGGATGAATACACTGAGATTCATTCTGATCTTTGTTCATTTCTTTGATTCATTAAGTTCTCTTTCATCAAGTTTCTATACACTATATCAGTATTTAATGATTCTCAATACATTAGAATACCATCATTAAAATTTCTTGGCGAAATCTAGTTGAAAGTTTGAGATTTCACTGAGCATGAACGTGACAGTATATCATCCATTCGGTCTTGCCTACCTCTGAGTCTAAGAAAGTCGAATGAATGTGAGAAAATTCGTGTTGTCAGCGTGAGTGTTGTTATCAAAATAAGTTGATGTTATTAAGAAGACAAATAAGGAAACAATGTAAAGTTGTTTCTGTGTGTACATTATATGATATATGGATGTAAATGATACCGAATGAAGTGTAAAATGATCAAGATTGCAGCAATAATCGGTTTTCTTTTATGTCCGCAGACGATAATATGCCGATAAGAGTTAAATATCGGTTGTAAAACAATTTTACAGTGCACCGCAATAAGGCAACCAATAAAGTTGTTCCCACATACATACATTATACGGTATAATTGAAGTGTGATGCACACAATGTTTCGATACCTAATAATAACATCTATCACTTTATTAGTCAGCGATTGAGCTGTATTTATGGCAATTTACAACATCACTGATTGTTGTCTCTTAAGAGAATTGTTATTATAATTGAATCGGCATTTTGTTGTTTAATACCATCATTTAAACGCATCACATCAACTATATCTCTGTCACCTGCCTATTCACAAGTACGATTTATACGAGTACCGTTTGATCTGAGCCTCTTCTCGAAACATTTTCATTTATCCACATATCCATCGCAGTAAAAGTCTTAATTGATATCAATTGTCTAGTCACACAGTAAACTTATGTCTAGAATTTTCATTCACAATGAGTATTCGATTCCCTTTTACGATTAATAATTAGAGGGCGGTTTAGTGTACCGATACAACACAATCAATCTGTTTTCAGATTAGGTTTATTGAAACTAAAAAATTTCACGATATTAGAAGATGAGTCAAAAGTTTTTTTTAGTTGAGCGTAATCCGTCTCAACGATTTCTCTAATTCGCAATTTCGAGTGAATAAATTTGGAGTACTGTCGGCTGATATCTCAAATATGATGATGTACTGAAATGTACAAAGAAGAAAACATTGGATTAGTTATAGCTTTCATCCCCTACACGAATTTTTAGAGGAGCAACAGAAAATCATTTAAGCTTTCTGCTTTACTCACTGAAACTAAGCCAACTTCTCGAAAAATTAATTTTATTTCCATAAAAATGCATTCAACTGCTTTCAAACATTTTTGGGCGCAGTATGTGCCGTTGTTGTTTTCAAGACGAATTTGTTCGACGGAATGTTCTGGATTCGTTTCCATAACTGTGAATGATACACTCATTTGATACTATTTTGTTCATTTCTCTTAAATTAAATACTAAAACCGTAATTTTAGTTAAAATGAACCACTCAAAAAANAAAAAATACATACTCACTTTTAAATATAATTAAAATTCATCCTGAATTCCAATAGAGATCTTCATGGAAGGAGATGAGAAATATGATTGCTTCACTAACAGAATTTTAATTTTAACTATGACAGTTAAAAGGTAACGAAACAGAAACTGTGAATGATCAAGTGTATAAATGTGGTAAATGAATGTTGCTATAAAACGAATGAATGAACTTATCGTATTCGTATTCTCCATCTAAATAATTCACATTACCACGAAAAAATATCGTTCTAAATGAGGATTAATAATTGAATGAATGCGTTGGCTAAATGCGCGTAAAGGGCAGAAGAAAAGAATATGATTAAGAATGAATGATGGCTGAATTATAATAATATGGAACTGAAATAACATGCTAATCGTAAGAAAAGAGCAATGATAAAATCTTCATTCTTATTCCTCAAAATGAAATATTATTCGTTTGGAATAAATTATTTAATTTGAATAGAGACAAGTGAGGTGCATATTTAATGAGCATTCGAGCTGGGATATACGCTTAATATGTATATCAATTATTGAATACAGATGACAGACAATCTCGAAATGTGTTCTATTGTCATTTAATATTCTTCCATTTTATATCTTACATGATATCTATCCTCATTTACTACATCCAATCGAATCATATACATTCAACATTTACATACATTATTCTTATTGCACTTACATGACAATATCTTTGCATAGATCTTTTTCATTTTATCATTCATTATTTTTTCACTAGCGATTATTATCATCAGTCCTCAATTATTTCCTTCCTTCTGTTCCATGTTCGAATGATGAATTTCAATTGAAATTTGTCAGTGATATTGGTTGTTTATGAAATCTCGTGCATATATTTGTACTTATAAGCACATAGATGCAAGGTTGTCGCTTGGAAAAGTCAGAAAGTTTCCATTATCAGAAATACGGATACATATCAAAAGCTTGTGAATGATGAGAATTGATGGAAAGTCGTATGGATACAGTGCACAAATTACATTTTGAATTTCATGCTTCCATTTAGGAGGCAATCGAGGCAACATTTTGAAGCGGACGAGCATGAGAAAGTTGATGGCTTAACTTATAAAACAATATCGCTATTATAAGGATTGTGGTATCCAACCATATGGAAACCCTTCATAAGAATGAAATCGTGAAAGAATTCAGGACAACATCATAAAAGAACACAAGATCAAGAGCAGAATGGAAGCATGAGAACGGTCTTAGCCTGTAATATGAACGTGTTTCACTGATTTTGCATTTTATTCGTTTGTACGTTTTGAATTTCGCTGTTGAAAAGTGAATTGGTGCTACGAAATCAAACACAGCAACTCAGTCCATCATTTAAGAAATTCATTCCCGCTCACATCCAAATTTTTTGAACCATTCAAATTTTTCAGATCTGTTCCAGAACCCTTTGGGTATGTCTGTTCTTTCCAGACTCGCCGGTTGAGTAATGAAAAATTGGAATGCAAAATTGAAAGATGATTTTCATGAATGAAATATGCTCACATCAGAATTAACTACTGCATCAAATTTCAGTTACTGTGGTTGCATTTGCTGTGTTATTAGAGGGGTAGTTTCCATTCGTAAAACTTTTTTGTCAAGAATACATTGTTGTCAACGTTTAGAATGAGAGTGTCTCAAGAAATTGTGCGAAAAAAGTTTTTGATGTGTTCGTTCGTTGCAAGAACACGAAGGATGATATCTTAAACTCGGGCCGGCAAAACTTCACCAAGTTGATACATCAAACTGTGAATAGATGGAGTGTGATGAAACAGTATAACAATGAGAATAATAATGAAACAGTATAACAATGAGAACAATCGCAACGATTGAATGAATCAATGCATATGAATCAAGAATGAGTATGAAATTAACCTGATGTCGATGAGGATGAGCACATGTTCTTCGCATCTGATATCATAGCCGGCAACTGAGATCGAAAATTAGCATTAACACTTGAATCATCGAAGTGATCAATGGAGGACTGCTGCTCAACGATTTCTTTTTTAATCGGACGGATGTTACTGCTGTTGAAACTGGTCAAGGTAGATAACAAATGATGATTATCACTGTTTTCAGGCTGATTATTGTTCGGTGATAGCTTTTGATAATCGTTTTTGATCAAAGACTCAATATCAAATGATTGCATCGTGACCAGATTTAAACGGATACAATCGACGGAAATGGCTCGATCTCATCCGATGCTTGAATTTATAAATGCCTAATATCAGAGCAATTATTAGAATATCATCACTATTTTACAGTAGATACTATTCTTTCTATTACTAACAACAACACGCACACTTTCTTGCCGACTCTATCCTCATAACTCCACCTACTTAATTTCTTCTCAACCAATCAGGGAACGTATATTATCCTCAATATCTCGAAGAGATGTCTAAAGAAATGACGATTGTTTCAATGATCGAGCACGATATGTGATTGAAACAACAGACAGAAATGAATGAATAGGATGAAGATATGAAGCGTGAAAGAAATATAGACATAATCTGAAATCATAATTGTAAGAATCATATAAATGATAGACATATCATTTGAGGGACAATTAACATATCCGTCTGCATTCGCTACATACATAACACCTACTGTCAGTTTGTTAATGTCGAATCGATTCCAGTGACAATTCATCATCAAATTGATTAAGTGAAAAACAATGCTAGGCTAATTATTGATGAATATCTCAGTTACGACATCAACTAACAATTATGAATTTTATTGCTAAGCTGTTCATTAATACTAAGTTTATTACCGTCTTTTAATAATATTGATGCATATTATATGCAATAAATGCTTTCTTGCGTGTCTTTCACCATATTATAAAGCATTACATAATATGTTATCGTTAATAAATTTGTTGTTAAACAATAAACCAATTTTAACACCCTTCGTAGATGCGAAACCTTCTCATTGTCCAACCATATTGCATGCAATCATTTATTCCGTAATCAATGTCCTTTTGAGTTAATCGACTAATAATATCTCAGTCATCTGTAATAGTTTCCCGTTCAATTGTTAGTCATTTCATCGAAGTTAAGAGTCAAAGTACAATGAATAATTGAAAACAACTACCTTTCAAGGATTCAAGCTGATGTAGTCTATTGCAGGTTAGCATTTTCTGGGCAAAAGCGCTAAGTGTCACCATTCGTACTGACACACCTCAATAATTTCAGCTTGTTTTGTCGATCCATCTCTTTTTGGTATGTTGTGAATATGCATCGGAAAGATCTGTCTATTAAGACTGCATCATACAATGTTCGAGAGATATTCAACGGAATGCAGTCGAATAGTGATGTCGCACGAAGTTTGTAATCGACTGGTAATGAGACAATAACGTTTACGATCTTCTCGACCGTTCTTTTCAGAGTTGATCTCACGATCAGCAACGAACCATTATGTTCATTGTTGTCGTCGACATGAACTTATACATACTCACATCAAACAAGTGTCAACCAACTATGTAATAATTAATTGATTCTTGTTTAACATTACTTCCGGTTTCCATCTATGATCTCATTCGTCCAATCAATTTCTATCATTTTGTTTCTATTTCATATGTTGTCATTAGGGAATGGTACTATTGCGAGGGAATGAATCTGATTGAGTTTTGGACTAGGACATAGAGCTCTTCAGATTGATCACGAAAGAGCAGCGATGGAGATGAATAATTAGTTGTTCTAATCCTCACGATTATGGTAAACAATAATCGATAAAATCAAGTATTGTGGTGGATGCATGATAATGCCAATATATAGCCTTGTTGTGAACAATTTCTCAGATGACAATCAAAAACTGCATTCATAATGATAAATCAGTTGCAGATATACTCCCTATTTAAAGTACTCTTTTCCTCTTTCGACGCACTAAGTTTTTATCTGAACTTTCAAAAGCATTCATATTGTCAAAACCAAAATTAAAGCTAAGGTTTTAAAAAATAAGTTTCCAAAACTCATCACCATTCCTTAAGATGGATGCATTGTTGGTCCTTTCAGATTTTATCACCACTATTGTTCTAAATGTTTCACTTGAAAAGGTTTCGTTCAAAATTTTGAATGAAATTATACATTATATTTTTGCTGAAAAATGAAGAGCGATTAGAATAAAAGCGATATAAAAAGAGGGCGTGAAGAATATGGAATCAAGAAATGTATCTTCGTGCGATGATAAACGAACAAAAACAAATGTCTGATGTGTTCACTGAAATAAATGTCAACAAATCATTCAAATCTTCATTCTCTCATTGTTTCATCAATAATATATCACGAACAACATCATTATATAATGACACTCAAACCCTTCCATAATTTGCATTCCATAATTTAGAATTCCAAAATTGCACGCATACATTCAGAATTTACAATATCACCGAAATGAGCTTTCTGTTGAATTTTTTAAACGTTATAAGTGCAGAATCCTTGACTTTTAGCTGGCACAACCACGCAGTTTATCACAATTCAGTGAGTTGCAGTCAGTTACCTTGTGACAGTCTATCACTGCAGTCTGTCAATGTTGAGCTGAGGAAGTAAATTGACAGCTGAAATTTTTTAAAGGAACTCTCGAGGTAATCGATGTTTTGGATAGATTCACAATTGCTTCATTACATCACGAAATTCCATTGTGGAAATTCATAGCTAGCTTGATTTCGCCATAGAGTTATGCATTTTAGTGAGTATTTTGCATGAGCCAAAAAAANAAAAAAATTGATTTCCTAGGTTAGTGGTTCTGATGAAGTGAAGAATCCTCCACTAAAGGATATTTGAGGATGTCAAGGAGATCGAGAAGGTTGGAAAGTTGATAGCGACTAATGGTACTGCCTAATTGATCATTAATGTTTTCCAAGCGGTTGTTTGCACAGAAGGAAACTTTTTGGTCGCCGAATTAATTTTTTGAATTCTTATTTGACAGCTTCAAGTAAAACATTATGACACGGGAGGGTATTGACGATAAACGTAGATCGTTCGAGGGAGGAATAGCGCTTCTCCTACCATATGGCCCAAGAAGCGCGAGAGCGTCAGAACCACTGTGTGCTGGATGATTATTCTTTCGCTTCAACTGTTTTATGGTTGATGATGATTGTCAGTTCATATTGTCCTTCACCTCTTTAAATTTCCCTGTAATAAAATTCGCAGTTTCATTCATCGAGAAATGCTTCAATCGATCCCTCCATCCAAGTTCAAACGAGTAAAAACGCATATCCATCGCAACACTTTGCTCACACAATGAGGTCTCCCGTATTTCTCTGCTGTGTAAATCGAACTCATTGAACAGCAGTTCCACTTTAACACAGAGCATGTGATGCACGGTGTTTCTTTGCATGAGCAGTGAAATTTTAAGATTGAGATTCGTCTGCAGCAAGAAGTTGATGAATTAAGTCTAACCTTTGTGGTCAGTTCTTAGGTTTCCACAGCAATCAGCACCCTTAGTGTAGTGTATCGTTGGGAGCCCTAAGATTACAAGGAAACAAACGCAAATAATGATATATTGAATAGAACTGTCAATCATTAAAGGAAATCTGAATCGATTAAAATTGATAATTGTATTAGCTTCCGTAGCACAAACACTTCCTGCGTAGATGGAATACAACCTCCACTTCCACTGGTAAAATGTTTTCAAAGCAAAGCTGTCTCCTGTTCTGCTCCAAGGAATAGAATAGAACAGTTTTGAAACGAGGAACGTAGAACATAGAATAGAATAGNACTTTTGCCGTTATTATTATTTGTTAGCATTACTATTATTACTTTATATTAATCATTATTATTTATTAATGTTATTATTTATTCTTATTATTATTTATTAGCGTTTATCAATTTTCTTATCATTATTGTTTTTATTAATACTTTTTTTACCTATTATTATTCATTCGTACTTCCACAAGGTTGGCGGAGAAAGAGTTTCTCAAGTAATTCAGTGCTGATGGCTGTTAGAGATTCGAATCCACTAAAAAAACGTCATATCAAATATCACTAGGGAGAGACGAAAGGCCATCAGTGAGAGATGAAACAGCTCATCAATGGCAAGTTATCGCAATTAATTCTCAAAACTGCTAAAGACTGTTTGCGAGGAATTCCCTTAAGAAACAACTAAAGATGCAACTATGTTTCCGAATGCACACCCCGCATTCAAATGTTGGTCCTAATCTAAAATCTAGGAGCAATCCATCACAAAAACTGTTTACATTTTACGCCTCCAATAAAAGTTTATGCTCGGAGGATTTGGGTTCGATTGAACGAATCAGTTCATTCCGAACTCATTGGAACGAGAAATCATGCATCATTTTCTGATCGAACTGTTGGGAAGAAACGGGAATCTTCTGTTCTTCTATGATGTTGGTTACCAGAGCCCGAAACCCTCCGTTTTCCTCCAATCATCACAGTCAAAAGCTGTCAACTGCCTGCGTTGACAGTCTTCTCCCACCCGGAAAAAAACCTACATCTGCACTGAAAATGCCAAAAAAACACTTTTCCAATCCTAACTACCACAACTTCTATCGTGTCATTTTTCTGCCGGAACAGAATAAACAGTTCAGAACAGAATAGCACAGTTTAAAGAGGTAAAATAGAATAGAATAGAACAGTTCTCAAACGAGGAACGCACAAGATAGAACAGAGTCGTTTTTGGAGAGGAATAGAGCAGTTTTTAAAAACGTGGAATAGAGACTCCACTAGGATTATTGCACGTTTACGCATGAAATTCTACCAGTGTATTCCAGAAGCGTCCACTTTCCTCATAAGCACAATAAGTTTGCACATGTTTTTGAACATTAAAATAAGATTTTTCCGAATTCGAAATCGAAGTTCGAACTGAGTTCAAATTATTCAGAACTATTCGAAATTATTAAGAATGAAGGCATCTACCCAAAGTGCTTGAATCGTATCTCTTTGATGCAGACAAGGGATTGAGGAGAATTATTTATTTAATAATAGTCGGATTGCTGCTCGCACCAAACTATGCTTCATTCTACGAGGCCGTGGTAGCATCAAGGAATTATTAAACTTTCAGAAAACAATTAATTGAATTAATCACAACACTGTTTTGTGGTTTTTTAGGCGACTGCTCTAATTTGCAGAAAAAGAAAAGATTTATTCGGAGTATTGGGTGAAATTAATTTGATCAGTTCGGTAATGCGTGAATTATTCTTCAATTTTAGAATCAACAATTACAATTTCATTGAATAGAAAAATAATTTCGAAAATAACTCTCGCAATTCAACGCTAAGCAATTTCAATGAAAATTGCATCATAATTGAAGTGATCGCTTCGGTGGTTTTAAATCAAAATAATCATTTCGTTGTTACAGTTAAGTGCAATTGTTAATTGTTTCGATGACATTTCTTCAGATTGCGCATGTGTCACTCCGTTGCATCCATCTCTTCAATGTTCTCTTCAGAAAGAATGCTGTAAATGACACTTGATCTGTGTGAAATTTGTTGTATGTTAACATTGAATGTGCGATTCTTGCATTATAAGAAGCATTACTCGTGTATAATATTTGCTTACACATAGCACATGCCATATTCAAGTTTTGCAAGCAGCTTGCCTTAGATCCAATGAGTCGTTTCACTCACATCAGCGCTTCAAAAGTCGATGCAAAAATTGAACAACAAAGAAGAACGTTCAATTTATTATGTAATGAAAAATTCGAGTGCTTTGCGCCAATTCCATATATGGTATTTTTGTCCGGATTTTGCATGGAATGGTTTTTATTCAACTTGAGCCAGAATCGGCAAGTAATTCAGGAATCGGAGAAAACAGTTCTTTCGTGCTGCTTGTGCATCACTCTAGCAAACGTATGGAGTGTGTTCATATAGTTAGTGCTCATGATATTTAAACGGAGATGAATGAATAAGAAGGCAATATCAACGAAATGGAACATCAATCGTTGTACAATCATGTATGTATCAGTGATTTATGAATGACGGTATGAATATAATCGAGATGAATGAATGCAGTTAGATATGTAGTTATGATAAGATAAGAATAGAGATCATTGATCACTGACTTGTTTTCATCATCATTATGACCATAAGATTAATATGCTAAAGATTACTCAGTATTGTAATTGACACGCCTACTACACCTCATATAAACGATTATATATAAGCACCCAAAACTTCTTTCTTGTTTCTACTGAATACATTTAATTGTGCTCATCTTTTGCTGTTCAATCATGGTGAGTTCTGAGGGAATATTAAAAATTTTGATTTGATCTTTGAACTTCGGTTCTTTTTTGAAAGCTTAATTTGAAGAAGTTGAAATTATATAGTAGGATAGTTGTCAGCAGTATAGAATCGAAGGATTCAATCTGGCTGCTGCACTTGAACGAAGATTTAATACGTACTTCAAGTGTCACCCATAGAAATCATTTGATTTGATTCGATGCATTACGAATGTATGATTAAATGTGTTCGATATGCACTGATCGGATATGCACACTTTTATTGTTTTACTAATCTTTAGAGCGATTAACTGACCCATGAGCTGTTTGTATTCATCACGGACGATTCGAAAGAAAACTCCGAAATTTTCAAAGAGGCATCGAAATCAGCTCAATAACGCAGCAAACCAGTTGACAATGGCAATTTGATTTGAAAAATCACGGATTCTTTTGCTAGATAATTCCACTTCTCTTTTCAGGTTGCTTCCAATCAATCTGAATCAAACAATTCAACTGGTAAATTCGTGCGTTTTGATCATGTTCGATTTTGGGTTGGCAACGCTAAACAGGTTATTTTTTGGTACAACTTTGAACTGTACTCTCATTACGTTGATAACTTACATAAAACTGAAGTATCGAATTGATAAGTCACGCGTTGGTCGCAGTGATGTATGTCAGTGAAATGGTTATAGCTCTCAGCGAGGTAGTAACAAGCGAGAAGCTTTATCTCATCTTTACATCTCAGATATTCTCTGTCACCCTTCGCCATTCACTCATTTCTGTCCCTCCTAAGAAAGATGTTACCGAATTCGTTTTTCCGTCGTCTAGTTCCTGCCGTATTTCGATCTCTAACGGGATGTGACTCTCGATTGCTTTTATTCTGACTTCGTACTGGATGATTTGTGAAATATAATTTCGGAACGATGGCTTATTGTAGATAACATTTGCTGCCAATGATGTCTGCATGCCTTCATAATGTTTCAGGCAGCATACTGGTATTGTACAAACTTTGGTTTTGAACCGTTTGCCTATAGAGGCCTCGAAACAGGAAGTCGACTGATCGTATCTCATGCAATTCGTCAGAATAATGTAATGGATATCACATTGAATATCTTGCTCACTTAATCATTCATGCATTTGATCAGTAACCGTTTAAATGAAGTGATCGCTAGTGTGAGTGTTTGAATTGAAGTGTTTCACGCGCTTCCAGAAAAAATTCAAATGATAATTACATGATGACAGAAAGTTGATAAGTGCAATCAACCAAGGAAAGCCATTAAATAAGTAGAAGTAATTCAATTGAGTACTGAAATACAAATTTTGCTCATGAAAATGATCGGCCAAAAACTGAAGTGAATACTAATGTATCTTAATATCAATGAAGTCAAAATTATTTGATTTGTACGAAAAACTATGGGTTGGTAATGGAAGATTTGGGGCTAAGGTTGATATATGTCAGTGATAAGTTCGTAATCGATAAATGAATGAAAGCGCAACAGACTTATTTTAGATAATCTTTGTTTTCGAATCGGCGCTATTGCCCGACAATGTAGAACTTGGAAATCATCTCGTGAGACATGGTGATGGTGTGAAAGATGTGACGTTTCAAGTGGAGAATATCGAAGCTATTGTAGAGAGAGCGAAGAAGAAAGGTGCAAAAGTGATCAGCGATATCAATGAAGAGACTGATGAATATGGATCGATCAAGCGTGCTGTCATCCAAACGGTTTCCAATTGATTCTTCATTACTCACAAAAATTGAACACGGTGTTCGTGACCAAGTGCTGATCAATTATTCATCACCAAAATCTTAGTGAAAAATCATAATGCAGCATTCACGAGTTAAAATTGTGCGAGAATGTTTTATTTTTGCTTCAAAAACAGATCGAAATATTCAGAAGCGTCCAAATTACAACGATCAAACGAGATAAATAGACATTTGCTAAATTAATATTAATCAACAATAGCGCATCCTTATGAATCGGTCGTAATACGTTTCAGTATGGTGATACAGTGCATACGTTACTAGATCGAACAAATTATAAAGGTCTGTTCTTACCTGGCTATAGCAAACATAGCCAAAAAACGATTTTCATTGATCAACTACCAAAACCAAATCTTTCATTTATCGATCACTGTGTTGGTAATCAAAAAGACTTGCAAATGGAGGCTGTTGCGAATTGGTATGAAAGTGTTTTCGATTTTCATAGGTATTCTTTTATATGCATCTAAATAATATTGAAATGTCCTCTTGAAATATGTAACATAAATTATCAGAGATTTGAAATACTTTTGTGCATCTTTCAAAGTGATTCGAATTATTGGATGAATACTGAATTATTACATTGAGAAATTCGATTGTTAAAAACATTCTTCTCATTACCATATGGTAATTAATGAACAAAATCGTTTCGAACCGCTATAAATTGCAGATTTTGGTCGGTTGATGACTCGATGATTCACACAGAATATTCAGCGCTCCGATCGATTGTAGTGACAAATAAAGAAGAAACAATTAAAATGCCTATTAATGAGCCTGCCACGGGGAAAAGAGCCGTTTCACAAATACAGGTTGCTTTTTAATGAACATTTTTTCGGTGTAACCTCATAGCGATTTTATCGGTATAACCTCAAATACAGTTGTGAACTTAAATGATCGTTGCTCTTTTACAGGAATATGTTGATTATTATAGTGGACCAGGAATACAGCACATAGCATTAAATACGCCTAACATTATTCAAGCAATCATCGCGTTGAGGGCACGTGGACTCGAGTTTTTGTCAATTCCTGATAGCTATTACGCAATTCTACGGAAAAATCTCGAGAATTCCAAAATAAAGGTATTCAACGTCAACTATGATCAGTGTTCCCTTCAAGAGAATGAATTGCTTAACAGCTACGATAAACTACAGTACTCAAAAAAGATGAGAATATAAATCATTCCACGCTATCGCTGCATCTCCCATCAATTTTCGTTATTTGTCGTTGTTCTTTTCACAAAAATAATGTGAAATTATGGGTATTGGATTTGTGCGATGAGAATTTCTACAGTGAGAATCGATGCGTTTATACTTCAGGTTGCAGAAGATTTGGATATGTTACAAAAGTTGAACATTTTGGTTGATTATGATGATAACGGCTATTTAATGCAAATATTCTCAAAACCTTGTCAAGATCGGCCGACGCTATTCATAGAAATTATTCAGAGATCTAACCACCAGGTGAAGTTAATTAAATGTAGATTTTAATTGGGAAATCATCATAACAATGATTGTTATTTTCATGATTGATATTATATAGGTAAATGTGTGTCAAAACTGTTCATCTGTTATTTTTTAGTGAACTTTGTAAGATCACATTTTGTTAATATCTTATCAAGTGACAATTTTCTTGTAACCACCAGAAATTCAATCATTATGAGTAACTTTGATGTCAGCTTTCTAACAGATGTTATTTGAGGGCTTTGGTGCGGGAAATTTCAAGGCCTTATTTGAATCAATTGAGATGGAACAAAACGAGAGAGGAAATCTATTTTACAAAGATGTTGTCGAAGGCGGAGAACGCATTGCACACTGACATTGATCGTTGCATTAAACTTATTTTGATAAATATTATTGGTAGTAATATGTATAAAATGTGTTTCATTACTAGTAATAACCTTATAGTAATCTTATAACTTATAGTATGTAGCATGCGACTACACGTTGTTTATGTCGTAAGGTGGGCACGAGCTACGCGTTTTGCAATTTTATTAAACAAAGTGATTGAAATTGATGTATTTGTAGAAAAACATTGGAACCTGAGAGAGGGCAGCAGTAATTAGTGTGCGATAACGTCGTTCTTTTATGAATAAAGCAAACGACAATCACGGAGTCTTGCAGCTGCTTTTTTGACAAGCGATTTCATCGATAACGTTGAATTGATTGAATCGATAGTGACTAAACCATAGCAATTCCACCAAAGTGATACTTTTTGCACATCGTTTGTTGAATTGCATTCATTCGTATCGCAAAGCCAAAAATTTATATCTGGTTTAAAGCGTCTATGAAACATTACTATAATATATTATTATTTGGAACGATAAAAGTTAATTTAATGACCTATTGCTTGCCTAGAACAGCTCCTATGATAACAAAATTGATGTGATCTTTTATTTCAGAACTAGTCTGATCTTTATTTTAAAAAGTGATCTTTATTTCAACAACGCATATTAATACTACACTGCAATAAAAATAGCCGATGCTTGCATCAAACCAGTTATAATATCACAAGACACATCACGTGGTCATTTCCTCTTTTCATTTCCATCACAGCATTTTACTGCATCAGCGGCATGAACAGTCATTCGTAAACAGTAAAATAAGCGTTCAACTAGAATTTCATTTGTTTAGCACCACAAACGATCACTGACTTGATCGAATGGCGCTACAACTCTTCGCAAACCGTATTCATTTCTGGATGAATACATAGACTCAGATTTGCTGCTATAAGCTCACAGATCCAATCTGACCTTTATAAAAGATAATCTGCTGGAATATATTCGAAACACCATAAACATGCCATAGCTGTTGACTTTTCTCGACAAATTATTGCAATATTTATTTATTTGAATTTTATTTGGTATCACGATTACACCTTCGTAAGCATTTTTATGGACAAGAAAACAAGTTGAAGATTTCTTCTCATTTAGTGTCTTGCGAAACGATAAAAGGAATACGGGACGAGAATATGGTAACTGAACGACTCAGAACACAATAAAATGCTGTATCTTTTCTTAACGATCTCAATAATGATGCCAATAATAAACTGTAATGATAATAACAAACTGAATTCTAATTAATCTTCATACACAACATGATGATGTAGTTAAATAAATAATAAAAAAAGGGAAACACGTCATTTAACGAATCGATATTCAACAAAATTTCAACAACACAATCCTTTCTCATTCGGCTACAGAAAACTGTTCAAGGATTGTGTTGTTAAAGCAATGAGTCGGTTCAATAACACTATCCTTCGAATCATAAAACATGAAAATAATAACAATGCATCAAACAAGTCTGTTATTAGCACGGATACTGAACTTCCGAGATCATCCGATAACAACCGGGAACATGACACTATCATCCAAGTCATCACTCAAGAAGTTCCAAAATTACAGTTGTCGTCGAGATCACTCAACAATTATGGAAATGTATACACAACAATCCAAAGTCTTGATGAATTTCAATGGCGAAAAACATTCGTTGATATTTTTGAAGAAGCGCATAAAGTTTAAACGGAAGTAGGTATGTTGAACAACAACGGCTCCAAAGGAACATTGTGTGTAGAATCATAGTCAACAAAATATTTTGAACATATCTTGAAAATCAACTGAATACGTTCATATTCAGACAGTTCACTGTAATTATGGTTTAATGATACCGATGGTTTTACGTTCACATTATCAGTGGTTATTGTTAGTCGTTCGATTACTTCGGCAGACAACCACTGATCCACATAAATCTCAAAGCCGTCATCGATGAGACCTGGATGCCTTGAGCGTATTAATGATTTAAGTAGATAATTAGCACGGTTAGACGCTTTTCGTTCCTCGTCAGTGCCACCTTCCGAAGTTATGATCATTTCATCTTGCGAACGACGAATTAATAATACTGGACCATTATATAACGATAACTAAAATTAACACTTCCCGTTCACCAGATTGTATCAAATCAATTCATAGTGCAGGCATCTTTATTATGTCAGATTAATTTCCTTACTCATTCCGATACCTTATTCATACATCTAAACTATTCAATGCATTCATTTAAGCACTCTTTCTAAGCCAATATTATGATTGAAATCAATAACATTCGTTAAGCGTTTGCTTAAATCAGATAATTCGCTTTTATTCGAACGAAAAACTTACCTAGTGTGTGACTGAAAATAACAGCTGAAAATAGTTATTATGCACAACTAAGCAATGATACCTGTTTCGCAACCGGAAGATTAATATAGGTTCTGACAGCGTATTTCACGATTGACGCACATGATTTCGGCATTCTTGCTTCAGCAAGGGGTAAGAGATCATCGAATGTTGCATCCAATATCAGACCCTAAGATACACATACAGGCTCATCTGATCGCAAAATTTGAATGTCAAACTACACCAATTGCAAACGGACAAAATGGAGCAGGATATATTCATCGACAACACATTCGCATGGAAACGATGTCAATCGAATAGGCTTACATTTGAAAAGAAAACTTGACACTTCTTCAATAATATACGCAATAAAAAAATGGCGAACAAATGGATTGAAACCAACTTTAATATTTTGATAATTAGCAGCAGCCCACGTGCCTGGGAATCCACCGATCGACCACGAATATATGGTGATGTCTTCCTCACGAAAGCCAAGCTTTTCGATTGCGTACTGCATTACACTATCAACTGCATTCTTAATCTCTGATGGAGACGGTTGACCACTACTCTCAGCGAAACCTAACAAGCACAGCAATTCTTTAGAATTCATTTCTTTTAACGTATACGCAGGGTTTTTTTNTTTTTTTATCTTTCAAATCAGATCATTCAAAATATTCTGTAAAAAATAAGCAATAAAATGAACGCTTTTCAAAATAATGATAAAATTCGATGAAAGTGTTCAGTATGAAAGACAAAGCATTTAAATGAAAAACGAAGAAAAGAAATACGAGACGGATAATATGGCGCAGACATAACATATTGAATGCATAAATGTAATAACCAGGATGATTCCATCCGAGAACCGAATATCCCAAAGATAACGGAGTGACCATAATTCCAGTTTCATAAAAACCAGCATTCCCCTCGCACGTTACCACCAATATGTTGCCATTGTCACTCTTACCACGATTATCCACAAACATCGTGTCAATTCTATTCGCATCCTGTGTTTCTATAATCGCTCGTTTACCACCCTCAAAAAGAACCACAACTGCACTAATTTGTATTCAAACATCGACAACATTCATTCAACAATTAAATAAACTTCTTTGAATGAACCTTTTCGACGATCAATTTCCGTCTCGCTTCAATAACGAAATTCGAGACGAGCATATTGAATAAAGTAACACTTCCCGGGTATACCATACGTCTGCCAAAAGTATTGACGAGTACATAAGCAAGTGCATCGCGGAATGGTGATAGCAACATATTCATATCAGAAGGAATTTCATCGATGTATGTGTTCATTGAGAGACTATCGCGACGACGTGCCTTGAAATCTATTGGAGCTGCGAAAATCTAAAATTCCTACATCATAATTCGGAGAAAAAGATCATTTTTACAGCGATCACTTGGCGAGAATATCAAAACTGAGAACTGAACTCATGCATTGGCTATAGAATAAAAATGTGACAAATCGAAAAGAACACCACAAATACTCCTTCAAATAAAACCTGATAGTCGTAATCAGCCAACTGCATTCTTAGGTGTGAGTTGTTTTTCATGTCTTCATTCTCATCCGCTAACAACAATAAATCGGCAAATTTGCAATAATCCTCATTTGTGACACGTCCAAGTGTTCTCGTTCCAATTGCAACCGAATAGTAAACAAACAAAAATTTCGTCAAATTCAAAATATTCGCCGCATTCAGCAGTGATCTATTATACGCAACCTATAATGAAAATTGTGACTGCTTCAGAAATTGTGTCCAATCAATCTGGATGCATTGATCAATCAAACACTTTCGATTTGAAATTAAGCATACATTTCGTTCTCAACGTTATTCAAAAAAGAATACCCTAAAAGTTTCAACATTCTTGACTGAAGCAATACGTAGTGAATAAGCAATCAATACATAAAATTATGAATATACGTGTTAAAAGCAAGTTGTGCCTGCCATAAGTTAGAGAATAAAATCATCTTAAATAATCTACAAACAAAATGTAAATGTAATATATAAAAATCGTATATAAGCTTTACAAGTCTCATAGCAACCAACTTATGCACTAAAAGTCACAAAACTTCTTTCAGAAGAACAAAAGAGAGCTAACCATGAAAAGAATCGGTGACAGGGCGATGCAGACATTCAGAGTACCTTTCATAAATGATAACATGGAATCACCCATCGATTCAAATGAATTTGATGGGTAAATTGATTGCGGTGACGAATAAATGAAATAAATACGTGGTCCATGTAAAAATTTCCATCCTAATCGTATTAATCGATTCATCAGTGTCACAATTGGAACAACTGAATGAAGTAAAGTGTTCGCTGCACGGGAGAGGAGAAGAATAGAAATAAATGAGGCTAAAATTAGAATAGAAATGCGGATCACAAAGAAAAAATATTCAAACTGCCGAAAAAACACTCGAATTATTCGACATCACGGAAGATTCATGAATTTGAAATGAATAATGCTTTAGAGAAAACAAGCTTAGCCCAACGGTAGAACATGAGAAACTGCTATTGCAACAAGGACTCTTTTATCGGGAGGTAATGAAATAACGACATAAGAACGTGTTATTGAATGATCATCGATAAATTCACGCGACTGATTGAATGATTATTTATCAGAATTGAAATACAACTTAAAAAGGTGAACAATCAAATATTAATTTAAAACGAAAATTTACATTTCCAGTAAAATCCGTCATCGATTAATCAATCGAAAGTACCAAGAACGGACGGGATTATTACAAAGAATGAAGCAATCCCATTCAATATACAAACAAAACGAATTCAACGTTGATAGTGAACGTTTAATTTCGCATTAGATATGAAATCTAAAAGAAATAGGATTGCAATTAGGGTTCACACGTGAACTTGACTTTTGAATCCTCATTCTAATCCCGGGATCCAGGCTCTGAAAAATCTCCGCATTTGACGAAACAAGGCATTTTACATGATTTTGGCAATATACTCATCTCGAACCATGCATTGACCAGTCCTAACTCATTCATATGCAGTAAGTTTTGTTGTCTAACACTCAACTGTTAATGAAAACATGAATTGTTGTACAATGGCGCCACTTCGGCTTTCCTTTTTGCCGAAATAATTAACAAGAATTTCATAATGTCATCACTCCTGCTTCGTATTGCTTCATAACCTTGCTTTGTCTTCCTTTTATAACTATTTTGGTCAATATTCTCCACTTATTGATATTATGGTTATTAATCTACCGTTATGATTAATAACTTCCATTCAAAAATATTACGCTCGTTTATTGACATTATAGTTCTTCATCTATTGAAAAAAAATCACCCTTCCACTTTCTTAAAATTAATGAATCAGACTTTTAATGAACAATTTATTAATAGTTGAATAACATTCATAAATGTTACATTAACTGTCCTCCATCAATAAACTTTAATATTATGGTCCATCAATTCCACCTCTATTCCTAAAATACGCCTCCTAACAATGCAAGTTCGCCCGGATATATTGAAGAATACGACAGAAACGATGACCATTCTCGCTGCTGGGACTATTTTTTTTAGAAAGAACAACGGAATTGCGAAATGTAAACTGTGCGGTGAAATTAGATAAGAAAGGGATCGTTCATTTGAAAGAAAAGAAATTATATGTGAGCGGACAGTGATTTCACCTTCGAGGAGTAAAAGGATGATGGCCCTGATTCTATCTCATCGATGCCAAGTAATTCGTTTAAGAACATTTCATTTCTTTGTCAAGGAAAATAGATTTGATGTTAAATTTCCAAAATGTCGAAAGTTGTGATAGAATTGTGACGTAAAGTAATCTTTGAAATGCATTTGCACAAAGAAACGAAGAAAGGAGCCGCAAATACGGGTAAATAATTCATATCGATTAAAACGATCCCATCGATAAGCTATTAACGCTCTAACGATTCAACAGTTAACGCTCTAACACTTCCAGAGCTCATTTCAAGATTCACTAAATTGTATTCTTTGAATCAGCAGCTGGTATGTCAATCTTAATTCAATTTTTTTACAATGTTGATGACCATTTCTTTCGTTGACAACTCTATTTCAACTGTTTTAATTAATTTTAATAAACGAATTGTGCTATCCGTAAAACAGAATTTTAATTAATTTGAAGCATTTGCAAATTTCAAAAAAAATTGTCGAGGAATATGTTTGGTTTCCTCCCATCTCAGTATAAGCAACCGAACATAATCCGTTCAAGGTATTCACAGAAAAAGTTAAGATATTGTTCCAGGATATTGAATTGCTGATTACATATCCGTATTACACTTGTCTTGTGGATTGATGATTTGTTTCCAGATTTTAAAATGCTCTTACTTGTGTGATTCGCTGAATAAATCGTCTCATGATTACTTAAGAACGCATTGATCCAAAAAGAATATGCTGAACCTGTGGCACTTCTGTATTTCAAAAATCACTGGATCGCAGGATTGAAAGACTATGCCGGGATTTAATTCCGCCCGGGATTGTACGAATGGTCGACATTTTGCAAACCTTAATTGCAATATAACAGCAATGTGACTGTACAAGAACAATTATTGAACATAATAAAGTGACAAATAAACGACAGCAAGAGTTTGTTCCATCGCAACGATCCACAAAAATTCTTTTAATCATGCTCAACAAATCACATCCCACAACTTCTTTTCCTAAACAATTTTTCGAAACAATTCATTAAATGCCACTAAGAAAGTTCCCATTACATGTAACTGTGACTGCAGCTGTCAAGAGGAATTTAGTTCTCTTAATTATCAAAATACTACTTATAAACGTGACACATGATTATGACCAGTGAACATGATGATATAAAGGAAATAACTGACCGTGCCACGAATGTCAAACAAGGATGTAAGATCACCGAACGACAAACAAAATGAATAAATATTGAAACTACGAGCGAATATCATTTGCTCGAAAGTTCTTGGTTATTATCTGAATGCTGTTGAACTGTGCAAGTGGAATGCTGTTCAATAGCACAAGAAGAATGCAATGACTCCTCTTCTTCAACTCCATTCGCTTTAACATTCTCAATACCATCGCAACTTCTAACCTCATTGCTTGTTTTGGTAACATCCGATTGCTTTCGGTTATCATTCGAACTCTCACTCACATTTTCCGATGGCTGTTCCGATTTCGTTTCACAACAACGCGACTCTTCGTGAGAATTTCCATCACTATCACTACTGTCTTCTTCACTACCACTTCCATCAGTGCCTTTATTGACGATTTTCTTCTTTTTTAACCGCTTCATCTTTTCCTTATGTCGCTGTCTAAAGAGTGTATACATTTGTAATCGTCGTCACATGATCAAGGATTAAATTTATATTAACTTTAAAAGATCATTAGCTCTCAAATAAAATCACTAAGTAACCGCTTGGCCCGTTTTTTGGCCGTTTTCTCTTCCTCCTGTTTGATTTGCCTTTCCCGTTTTGCAATGTACTCAGCGTCCAACTCTTCTTGTAAAGCCTTTTGATTCATATAATCCAACCTAAATAATCAGTATTTTGACATGTTTGAATGAATGCCGTCTGTAATCATATCATTGACAACCACTTATATTATAGATGACTGCTTCTTCGTGTTACTGACAACAACGTCATGAAAACGAACCTATCCATTTCACGTTTTCGATTATTCCGAAAGATGTGGAATTCGGCACTACCAGCTGCAGCGGAAGAGCCAACAACATTGCGAACAAAATCTGGTGGTGGACGAGGCTTACGGGCATCACGACGTTGAGGGATTGAAACGGGTTTATCCTCCAAATGAAGATCTGTTTGCTTACAATCGACAATCACAAAATTCATGATTTGAAAAAGGAAAAAATTTTGCGGTTCGCGGTGAAGATCGGTTCTCATTACAACTTCTCGATATCTACATTTCCTAGGAACTTAATTATACGATGACTGAAGCATAAAAATAAATGTAGCGAAATCAGGCACCAAACTGATTTCGTTGGAATACATGAGTCAAAATGCATATCGCGTAAATAACTCATGGAACAATTTTTGCATGAAAGTGAAATAGTTTTGGAATTCTTGGGAAGCATTACAATATTTTTTTCGAGTCGATCCAATCGCATGCGAATCAGGTCATAGGCTGTTCGAGCCCGTTGTTCCTCTTCTTGTTCTTTGTCCTCATGAGGCATACTTAACTGCAATGGATGATTTAGACGTAATACGCATAATACTTTGTATGGGAAACGGTCCCCGTTGCGATCTGCCTGATCCAAACTGGGTACGGAAAGTGATAACCAGTCAAACTCGTAATACTCCCAAAGATGTTTTCACTCGTATTGAACACCGAAAATTGGATATAATAGTAAATGAATTTTTCATGTGCAAATAAGGGGTGCACTTTGGCTTCTTTTACCCCAACCATAAACACTACATGCGATATCCTCTTCGACGAACAACTTGGTCGCGTTGTGCCAATTTGCTTGTTTAATGTTCAGTTGTGCTGAGATTTGAACCTAGCACAC